CAGTTGTTGTCTTGTTTTGCAAAATTTTCTTTGTTTTCTTCAACTTTCGCAAAGTTGAAAATTTTGTCGCTGTTTGATACCCATGTCTAGAGTAATAAGTTCGTGTTTTCTGGACTCCGAGGTCCTTGTCTCGTTAGGAGAGTCGAAGATAAAAAAAGAGTTTCTTAACAAAATTTTGATTTTGGTTGTATTTTCAGAAGTGAACCGGAAAGAGTTTTTGAGTTTAAGTTTTTTATTTTTCTCTTTTTTAATGAAACTATCGAAATAAAATCACTTTCAATTCCTTAAAACACGCAAAACTTTTTAAATCATTAAACAAATTAATTTTGAATCATCTCGATTATTGTGAATAATCACTTTGAAGTCGAAAAAAACTATAACCATACCTTGTTGCAATTTTTAATCCTGTGATCATGTCAGATAATGTCTTTGGGTTTTCATCTTCTGATCTATATTTTTATATCAGTAGCAAAGAGCAGGATGGTAAATTAGCACTAGCTGTTTTGTAACAAAAAAAAAAAAAAAGAGCTAGTCAGAAAGATAGTTGACGTTATCTATACTAATCGTCAACTTTTTAGTATTTTTAGCGCCACCTGATCTTTCATTTTCAACAAACCAACATTCCTACATTGAATATTCAACTGAAGAACCCATGCAAATGTTTCAAGAGCAACAACATGAGGACCAAGAATTCATACGATTATCCCATAAGCAACAAAGCCAACTCATACGATTGATTCAAGGGAAACAGCATAAGAATCAAGATATATCTCAATTATTCCATGAGCAACAAAGTGATGATGAATCTGATTGCAGTAATGAAGATAACGAGTATAAAATTGAAGCTGGTACTAACGTTAGAAAAGCTGAACTAGAAGTTGGATTCAAGTCTATAAAGTTTCAGATGAATATGATAACAATGGAGATATAATTCGTCAATACTTTGTTTGTGAGAATTCGAAAGAGCATCAATCCAAAAAAAAGATAATTGATGCAGACCATAGAGAAAGAGATTCTAAGAAAGTTGGATACCTGTGGCAATTCAATGCAGAGTATAGAAAAAATGAAGGCGCCATATTTATTAATAAGCTTGTTGATGAGCATAACCATTCACTTGCCCCATATCGAAAGGAGTTTGCTCCAAGTCTACGCTCACTTTCACAAGAAGTTCTGGACGAGATAAAGTTTTTAACTCAAGAATGCGGTCTTGGTGCTAAAGCTCAACGTCGATACCTTTCAAAAAAATTCCCAACTCAGTTTTTATATGATCGTGATCTATACAATGCAATACGTAAATATAAAAATCAGATGGGTAATCAAAGGGAGAATGATGCGGCAGATATGGTTAAATGGCTATGCAGCAAAAAGAACAAGAACCAGGGTGGACAATTTTTATTGAGTTGGAGGGTGTTAACAATAATCTTTCACGGCTTTTTTGGCTATCACCAGGACAGATAGAATTGTGGAAACGTTATCATGATGTGGTCGTCAATGATAATACTGCAAAGACAAATGCGTACAATATGTTATTAAATTTCTTTATAGTTGTTGACAATCATCATCAAACAAGGATTGTGGCACAGTCACTTGTCCAAGACGAGACTGTTAGTTCATATAAGTGGATCCTAGAATGTATACTAAAAGCAACTGATGATTTATCTCCAAAAGTAATATTCACTGACGCAGATTCTGCCATGATTTCTGCTGTCAATCAAATCTTTCCTACTTCAAAACATAATCATTGCATATTCCATATACAAACAAATATTGCAAAGAAATTATCTCAGAAACTTGGAAGTTCTTATAATGATTTTTTGCAAAACTGGTATCGGTGTTATAATAGTCGTAGTGAGCTGGAATTGGTGCATCGTTGGAAAGATTTGTTGATTCAATATCCTGCAGGAAAAAATTATTTAAACCAACTTTGGAAGTCTCGGCAGTTGTGGGCTAAAATATATGTACTTACAACTTTTTGTGCTGGGATGCAAAGCACACAGCAGGTAGAAAGTACAAATAGGCTTATTAAAGCAGAAGTCGGTGCTAAAACAACACTTCTCAACTTGGGCAAAGCTATTCAAATTAAACTTGAACGTGAAGCACAACACCAGCGGCTTTCAGAATATAGAAATACATTACCTACTCGAGGACTTTCAAGTATTCAAAGTGTTTTTTTGAACCTGTTTAAGATGCGATCAAAAATATTTAACATTAGAATCTGCATCTTTTCAAAATGTTCAAATATCCCAAAGCATTTTATATTGTGCAAGTTTGTTTAAAATTTCAAGTGATTTAACTTCGGTGAGGTTTATTATTCACGTGCCTATTATTATATTTGACTTACCGTTTTTATTAACTAACATAATCATTATTATATTTCATATTTAATTAACATGTTTTATTAGCTTCCTAATGCTCATGAATTCACAGATGGGTATCTTGAAGATGAGTACGATGTATTACAAGCTTCACTAGAAAATATTATGAATATGGTCAACCGTGAAAATGTTCTTGAAATTTGGCGGGTTTCATTATTTGACCAACATAACCATAGTTATCCTCATTTTGTTATTCTTTTGGCTGATAATACGCACCTTTGTACTTGTCTTTATATTATTTT